CGCAAGCTTTTTCCATTATTGAAAAGAAATTAAACAGGAAATTGATCATTTATCTTCTGGAAATAGCATTTTGAGCCCAGAAATAGTTATTTTCTAATAACAAGCTAAATATTTATTGCAACATAATGTGATATAATTATTCAGGAAAAAACTAATAGATTTATTTCGGCTCTACTTAAATTGACTAGTCCCGAACGCTCGTTTTGTTGTTGTTTTTTTTTCGTTTTTTTTTTTTTTTTTTTTTTTTTCGTTTTCTCTCTTCGTTAAAAAAAAATCAAAAAGGAATAATTTATTTTTTTTTAACAATTTGTATAGATTAGCATTCATTAAACCTTTAAACCACGACATTTATTAATATCAAAAAATATATTTTTAATCATTTTAGAAGACAAGGGTCCTGTTCGTAATTGTTATGAATAATCAAGAGTGTTTTCCCCTTGTTTTGTTACTCTCCTCTTTGAGAGAGCTATTTCTGTTTACTGGGTCTGTAAAAGGACACTATAGGCGAACAAAGTATTCTCAGTTGAATAAAACTTTCTTAAAGCCTACACCTGCGTTCATTACGATAATATAAACACTGCCAAATCAATCTGACTTTTAAAGACTTATTTGTACTTTGTTTTTATTTACAAATGTTAAGTTTAAAACTGTGCTTATGTTATTGAGGGAAAAGGACAACATCAGTAATTTGCAGATATCAATGTTTTTAGTCCTAGTAGTCACAATGAATTTCATCAGCTGCTACGTAGACATTGTTTTCCGTTTTATTTCAAAGATTTCCCATTTGTCAGCAGTCAGACCGTTGGAACAGATCCTACGTTTTACAAAGCCAAGACAGTCCTTAATGGTAAAGAATGTCAGCAGCGTCGGATTAACAAAAGCAGCATTATCAAGGGCCCAGTATTACTAACTTTCTAGTTATCTGTTGAAATTGGCATTTTGCAACATGTCAAAATATATTTATACGTCGAGAGAGCTGCATCTTTAATTATGCGTCATTTATATTAAGTTGGTGCAAAAATAATGACGTATTAATGTCGTTTTTTGACGTTAAAAAATACGTCAAAAAACGACATTATTACGTCATTATTTTTGCACCAACCTAATACCAAAGCTGCTTATTTTCTTTTAATCTTTTCATCCGAAGCAAGTATGAGAAATAAGATATGATTATCTGCCCTTGGCAGTTTAAGGTTAGCCAATCAGCTTACAGTTGCTGATTGGCACGCTTTTCTACCTCTTTTTGAAGAACACTAACTTTTGGTAATACCTACGAAATGAACACTTGCAGAACAAGCCTACTCTACGCCGTTATCACCACAAAGTCTGTAGATGGCGAAAACATCTTCATCAGATAAGTTTGGTTGCAGACACCATTAAGTTTGCAAGGATTTATTTGCAATATTGTTTAATACAACTTGTATAAATCGGAGTCAGTCGCGTTCTATTCTTTATTACAACGTCTACATCCACCACGTGGGAATCTTATATGGGGCCCCAGTTCCCCATACAAGGAAATACAGCCACTGAGACGCAATTGGTTACGGAGTGAAAGAATATGAAAGAAAAAAAGTTTATCAAGAGAGAACCTTAAATAAACAGGTATTAATACAAAAGATAACGATTGACATTGCATTTAGATATTTGAAGGTCAAAGTTGACAGGAAAGCAAGAGGCCGGTAGAGAGTTCCAGAAATGTGATACAATAAACTGTTGGCCTAGGGTTATAATCTTGAAATTTCAACTGTAAAATGGCAAGGTATGGCTGTCAATCTAGTACTGCGTTTATACTCGTAAAGCCGATGTGCCAAAGAGGAAACAATAACCAGGAAAATATTTGTATTCAGAATTATTAAGGGAAACCAGTAAGGAAATCTATTCATATTTTCTTAGAATCATTTGCCTCATATTTTTCTGTGTTCTTAAGACTGTATCGCTATGTTAGTAAATAATTTAATTTTAAGCTTACTTTTTAGTTTAAGGCCTTTTTATGAAATATACTACGGGCCACACACTAGCTTTATCCAGTCCTGTTGTTTTGAAATGAGGAAATATTACATCTTTTTTCTTTTGATCTACAAGTTAAGAAACATCGAGCCTGGTCAGTACTTAGATGGGTGACCGATTGTGAATACCAGGTGCTGTAAGCTTGGATGTGTGGGTGGTGTAATGGATAATGATTTTTAATCGTAGAGCCGAGTTCCAAGCCGCGTTAGGTTCGTTAGTCACTTATGCGAAAAAATACCCTTGGGGGAACGATGTGAATCCACTTTTTCCCCCAGCTATGGATTAATTAGTAATACTTGAATCACTAAACCATTATCTCCCTCAAAAATTACAATCTAAGAATATTTTCTGGCTTTAAATAACCTGCAGAGGGTTGATAAATGATCGGTCAATCAAATCGATGTAGAATGCTCATCTTGGCTGTTTATGCTCACAACGTTTCGGTCGTTGTACTCTACAGCCTTATTTGTTACACACGATAACCATCTCAGAATTCTGAGCCAAACCTTTCATTAAACAAAGGTAGACTAACAATTTTATTAATTTATTAAGTGTTTTCTCGTAATTCGGAATAGTAACATTTCTAGAACTGTTAACACCATTGATAGCAGCAAAATGCCTTAATATGTTTATCAGACTTGCAAAAGAGAAGAAACTTAATTCGCTGTTAAACGAAAGGCATTAAAAATAATCTGACGTGAAAACCAAACGGTTAATGGTCATCGTCGAGAACTAAAGAAAAATAGTTTTTTAAAGCACTGGTTTTTGTAATCTTTTTACTGGAAAGGGTGGGATGCGCAGGTCTGCCATCTTGTTAAGGCCTGCCTATTTTCTTTCCCCGTTTTACCCCTATTCGCTTTAGGCATTTGATTCTTTTTATTTGTTTGTCCCTTTAGTTGCAAGTCCCAAACTAGTGTATATATATATATATATATATATATATATATATATATATATATATGACACCCCCACCTTACCCTGACTTGACATCTATGAAAGTAACTTTATACTGATACGTATTATTAACCACCCAACACTACCCATTTTAAACAATTCGCCCTGGCTGTTACCATGGAAATTTTGATTTCAATTATGAATATACTATTAAAACACATAAATTTCAGAAATAAGTTATTCCAAAAAAAAAATTTCGCTTGAAGATGGAACAGAGCTTACTTTAATTCAATTTAATTCAAATAATTATATTGAAGTTTTCGGCTCTTGTTTTGAAACATGAGACCTCTTATGTCGCGAGTTGGAATCTTATTTTTAAATAAATAATTATATTTATGCTCTACTTTTGTATCGAGCACTATTTTTTTTAAAAATAATAACAAAAATATTAAGGAACTTTGGATCATTTACCCAACCAGTTCTTTCCTATTTTCTATATATTTTCACATATATATAAAGGAAAAGGAACAAACAAATAAAATATTTAATATTATCAATGTTAATTACTACATTATGATCAGTTGGTATATAGTATTTTTATGGTAGTTTCGCAACAATATATTACTCATTCTCAATGATGTTTTTATTAAGTTTTGGGCATTTTTGCATCTGTAGACTGATACTTTGACCATTGAGCTGTATCTGTCATCTGAACACAGTCTAAACACATTGTCACCAATGAATGAAATAAAATGTCACCCCGTCATGTTTCTGATACAAATCATCTCAGCTGTGGCCAGGTATTGACAATAAAGATGAGGACAATAGTCCAAACAATGTAAATTGTATAAAGACTTACAATACCTCATCTCAGAAATATAGACAGCTCCGGGTTTCTTCGGGATCTGTCTATATTTGTTTAAATAAATTGCTTGAACTATTTAATACAATGGTTGATTAGTATTTAGAAATTTATGAAATTTATTTTTTGTAAATGCTTTAGCTTCCCTCCGAAAAGCGGACTGCCGAGTTCTTTCTAGCTTTTTGCGTTGAGAGCCATCTCTATCATAATTTCAAGCACTATTTCTCGTAGTAAGAACTATATATTTCATACTTTGACATTAAAGTGACCAGACAAGTTATATTTGACGTATCCCAAAGGACATCCTGCCTGACGTACGAGCCCCTGGCAAAATATCTGTTGGCCGTTCCACCCCACCCCCTGCTGCGCTACAAAGATGTCTACAAACGCGATATAAAAGTTCTTGACATTAACACAGTAGATGAAGCGGTAATTTGTTCTGGAATCAACTCTGGTTGGCAGAAGAGAAGATTCAGATCTTAGCTATAGAAAAGAGAACAAAGTGGAATTAAATTATCATTACTACTACGTCCTTTCATGACATGAACGTTCATGGCTCTCTACAGCTTCCTTATCGCGTGTGGCTCTTAGCAGTTTTTTTCTCACTTTGCTAAGGCTCTCGCCCCCGTTCTGCCATCAGCTCATCAGGAAAGTGGCTCAATGCCTTCCTCTATTTCTCTTGCCCTCAGTATGTCACGTGAGTTTGATTTTTTTTTTTTTTAAATTTATTATGTTTAACCTTTATTTTTGATGGATACTCGTACTCTGGTAGAAGCTCTGCCGGAGGACGCATATTTTTCTGACAAGATTTCTCGAATATTCAAGACGGTAGATGTAGGTGGATAAAAAATACTATTTAATTACAAAAAATAGAACTTGAAAATGATTATCCATCAAAATAACGTTTAAACAAAGTAAATTAAAAAAAAATAACAATACGTCGGACTTTATATATATATATTCGAATTTTGCTCGAAAGGTGCAAAGGTAATAAAATTAACCAAAATGCTCAATATGTAACACAGCTGCAAACGTTTAGTTAAATTCTAGTTTTATGCGATAGAAATCATCAGGCGCCTGATCAATGGTACCGCATGAAAATTGAAGTCGCAGAAGAGTAAGGCACACACACTTTTCTAACTGGTCTGATCACGTTAATTTCAAAGTAAGATTTACAAAATAAATGATAGGTTTAAAAGGACATTGGAATTTTTTTTCTCACTCTCATAAAATATTAATGCTTACTTTTGCTCCCAAGTTATTTATGCGTTTGCGAATGAGGGGAAACAAGTCAAACAAGTTGGTGCATTTTAAGTGTTAAGAAAATCACCTTCAAAGTTGCTAAAAACAATTCTGGATGCGTGATTACAATTATTTTGGTGTGCCAAAATATACTGTCTTACGAAGGCTGTTTAAGAAGTTAGCATTTTTCGTGTTTTTTTTTTTTTTTTAAACTGACTACTCCTGTATTATAAATTTAAATGGAATTTAAGACATCCCATCACCATATACATTTAATATTCTACACTATTATGGTTCCAGGTTCGGCACTTAGACCTACTTTACCACGTCTGGGTAAATATTTAGCCTATTAAATAAAACTTCGCCTAGTAGACTCTTACATACACTTAATATTTCAGTATTATGTATTAGGCGAGGTACAAGTATTGGTAGTCTACCATATCTGTTGAGGCATTAGATAGCTTTGCATATAATATCCGGCAGATATTTTTTTTTTCTTTTTTTACCAGTTATTCTTTTTAGACGAGGCGTATTGCTACCGGTTTCACCATGGGGAACAGATTGACATAGTAAAATTTGAATTGCCTACTTAAAGAAAGCACCTTTCTCCGGTACTTCAACTCAAAATCTGCTAGCTTTAGGTTCGTTATCTATCTCTATCTATCTATCTTTATCTCTATCTATCTATCTTTATCTCTATCTATCTATCTTTATCTCTATCTATCTATCTTTATCTCTATCTATCTATCTTTATCTCTATCTATCTATCTTTATCTCTATCTATCTTTATCTCTATCTATCTTTATCTCTATCTATCTTTATCTCTATCTATCTTTATCCATCCATCCCCATCCCCCATCCATCTTTATCCCTATCTCTATCTATCCATCTATCTATCTCTATCTATCTCTATCTATCTCTATCCCCATCTATCTATCTCCATCTATCTCCATCTATCTATCTATCTCATCCCCATCTATCTCATCTATCTATCTATCTATCTATCATCTATCCATCTATCCCTATCTATCTATCCATCTATCTATCCATCCATCCATCTATCTATCTATCTATCTATCTATCTCTATCTATCTATATCTATCTATCTATCCCCATCATATCTATCTATCTATATCCATCTATCTATCCCATCTATCTATCTCTATCTATCTATCTATCTCTATCTATCTATCCATCCCCTATCTATCTATCTATCTATCTATCTCTATCTATCTATCTCTATCTATCTATCCATCTATCTATCTATCTCTATCTATATCTCTATCTATCTATCCATCTATCTATCTATCCATCTATCTATCTATCTATCTATCCTATCTATCCATCTATCTATCCATATCCTCTATCTATCTCTATCTATCTATCTATCTATCTCTATCCCTATCTATCTCATCCATCCATCTCTATCTATCTATCTATCTATCTATCTCTATCTATCTATCTATCTCTATCTATCTCTATCTATCTATCTATCTCTATCTATCTCTATCTATCTCATCTATCTCTATCTATCTATCTATCTCTATCTATCTCTATCTCTATCTATATCTATCTCTATCTCTATCTATCTCTATCTCTATCTCTATCTATCTCTATCTCTATCTATCTATCTATCTATCTATCTCTATCTATCTATCTATCTCTATCTATATCTATCTCTATCTCTATCTATATCTCAGATTATGCGTTTGGTAATCCGTATGGATAATTCCAATGAGGATATAATCCAGAAAGCTGAATGTATCTATATCAACAGACTAGGGTTTTGTATGAAAATGTCGATTTGAAGAATTAGAATCGAATTTCGGTTCTAAGCAAATAAATTATAATAATGAAACCTTAAAATTGTCTGTTTCTTTTTTTTTATATATATATATATATATATATATATATATATATATATATATATATAAAGGCCAAATAAAAATTGACGTTTTGAATAGCGTCACCCTTCCTCATTTGTTTTCTGGTAAGACTTTTGTAAATTTTATTTCAGATTCTAAATAAAACATCACCCCCCGCCCTCACTCGTTTAATTTATTCTAACTTTTCACAAAATAAAACGAAAATTGACACTCCTTCGTTCATATTTCCCAGAGCTTAATTTGATGATATTCACAAAATCAATTTTACACGACTTACATCTTTAAGTGACGTCGTTGTTTTTCTATTTTTTTTTTTTTTTCTTGTTTTGTTTTTTTTTCATTTTTCTTGATCTGTTTTGTCTGTTGTACCAGTGTTCAAGTGTTTTTGGTCATTATAAGATTTCTCATTTCCATACAGGAAAGATTTGCCATTCATTGACCGACATGTTGAAATTTACGATGTCTTTCTCTTAAATGTTTTTCAGGAAAAACTGACTACTCAGTTCCGCTGTCTTGGTTCATCTCTAGTATTGATAGGAGTTTCCTTCCTAATCTTTTGTTTAAGGCGGTGTGGAAGGTCAACTTCATTATTTTCCTTCTAGTTAGAAGTACTACCCATTGTAGCACTTCCTGATAGAATTGTTCAGCTAACTTTTTTATCGATCTGAGAATCACATTTTTAAAGGTTCATACGTCTTATTGAAACTATAGTCATTGCCTGTTAAAGGTAACTATCCTAATTACTTCACATGAGAGTGAATTCTTTTTCAATGTCAGCCACTCCTCGCCAACTCGAATAAGTGACCTCTCTATACGTCCAATTTTTAAACAAGTATTTTATGGGGTTGTATGTAGATATGTGAAGCTGTGTGTAATGATATAAATTTATTTACATTTTATATATATATATATATATATATATATATATATATATATATATATATATATAATATATTATATTTATTTCTTTTTTTATATAAAATAAGACATCTCGGCTGATTTGCAGGCAAATAAACTAACATACTCGAGAGCGAGAGCTGGATGTGAACGGGACAAGGCCCAGTCACAAAATGATCACTATCGTCGTTTGCGCATAGGCCCGACGTACGAGTTCCGGTCGAAAAATAAAATATTTTAAAGTGTTTCTATATAATAAAAATGCTTCCCTCCCAATTATACTCGCGTCATTTTTAGAGCCTGTTAAGCCATAAAAAACGCCATAAAAAGGGTCACACAGGGAAGTACTAGCAGTCGACAGGAGGCCAGAGAAGAGACCTGTCACGGTCAGTCAGCAGGATGAGCGCCACGCCGACCAGTGAGAACTACTATGAGAGATCAACCCGGCTTATGAACTATATCACAAGGTAGCTGTCCCAAAACCACACGTTCCTATTGAAATAAGTTACGTAAATCTATTTCTGCTGTTGTCGTATTTCTTTCTTGCAACCATACTCTTGTCTATAACACCTTGACTATTTTACAATATTAAACTGCATTATTTATCAATTTGAAAATATCTTCGATCTGCAGTAAAAAAAAAAAAAATTCTAAAATCTAAGACATTGCTCTAATTATTGGACCAATAGTCTGTCACGTCAACAGAAAAACACAAGAATAGAAATTTTGAATTACTACAATATTCAAAAATCTAGCGTTGCATTTCTGCACGTTCAAAAATATTAACTGTTAACAACAACACACTTTTTAATAAAAACATCTTTCGACAAGTAACACATTCATTTCGCCTTAGAAATTTTTTTCTTGACATTGCCTGAAATTGAGGAAGGAAAAAATAACATCTATGCCTTGTATGCATCGAAAGAGCTTGCAAATTATATGGATCGAACATCTAATCCATACTAAAATTAATAAAAACAATGATCGTATCGTTCAGCGAGTGGTCAGCAAATTAATGCCTTAATCTGTTAGTGAAGTGAGTTCGCCATTAACTTTATTGATTTATTCTTTGAATGACTATTTTACAATATATATATATATATATATATATAGTGTGTGTGTGTATTTTTGTAACCCTATATTCCTGTCATGAATCAAAGAACTTTTTCTTAAAAATAATGAAAAAAAAGCATTAATTTGTTTTAGTACTTGAAAAAGGTCACCGTTCCCAAGCCGAAAATTCGATTTTACCATATACGCTTTATTTATCAGTTAATGATGTAACTGCATAATCCTTATGTATATTTCAGCGCATTTAATTTTATATTTATAGCATGACATAGAAACTTACATCTACAGGTAAGAATAACTATATAAAGAAAAAGAATGTGGAATATTTAGCATAATTAAAGCATAATATACAATTAATGTGCTTTGCTAAGCTGAACATTCTCCTTTTTTTTTTTCTTTACAGACGTCGTAAAATCTTGGAGGTATTTGATTGCCTGTTCTGCACATTGATTTATTCTGGGAATTTTCAGTTTCGATGGTTTTGAATTCGAAAGATTTTTCAGTAATGTTTTTTTTTTTTGTGAGTCTGCAAACTGCTACATAACTTCTAGTAATTATCTGCATTGTAGGTTTGGTCAAGAAGTTAATTGTACGTCCATTTGTAAGAGGTGGATCTACAAATTTGTGTAGCAAGTCTTTTCTTTCTCTCTGGTAGGAGAATAAATGCCAAGAGAATACGTATTGCTCTAGAATTTTACCTTGTATTATTTAAGTTAGGTATTTTTTTTAAACTTCAGGAAAATTTCCAGTTTCTTTGAAAAAGCGGAAAATTCTAGTTAAATGAAATAGAAATATCATCACGCCGTCCTGCTGTTTCAGTAATCACATTTCCATTCTTGAGCTGTTCGTAGTTATTTACAAGTTTACGGATATTCGATACTGGGCAACATGCTGCTTTCTCCAAGTTCGTCATCCATTAATACGTGAAACACTTTGTTAAAAACATGAGATTGGCAGCCAATGAATTGTGATACTTCGTTTCTTTTGAGCAAATAGTCTTTGTGATTGAATGACAATCCCATTCATGCTTTCAGTGTTCACATACGTAGTAACTGCAATAATCATCTTTGATTTTTCCATAAATAGCGGTCAAAGTGAAGGCACCAAGTCCAAGAACTACCAGAATATTTATTACTGTAAAATTGCAATAATTGTGGCACGAAGCCAAAAGGGAAGTAGAGTGAGGCTAGTCATCATTAACTATCTTATGCCTAGCTAATCCCATTCACGACCCATTCATTCATTACAAGAAACTCCTTCACCACAAGAAGTCATCCCTCAACATTCGTTCCTACATATATCGCAATACCCCATTCTCACAGAGAACCTACGAAAAACAAAAACATGATTGAAGAATTTCGTATGTAATGTATGTTAGCCGACGCGTTTCGTCCAATGTGGATTTTTTTCAAGGCAAAAGCGAAATGAATTTATTAAAACAAAGTAACTAAAACAAAATGTTCTTAGCAACTGGAAGAATTTTTTTTTCTACAGAGATTTTTTACATTATATATATATATATATATATATATATATATATATATATTATAAACTAACTGATTTAAAATGTTTTTTTTTCGCTACACAGTTCCTACCATATTTCAAAAATGGAAGCTAAAAGCTTCGAATTTAATTTTGTAATTAAATTAAAGACATTAGTTCCATTCCATCCTCCAGCGAATTTTGGAGTAACTTTACTGGGTTTTAAAGGCACGGCAAAAGTCATAATTTACACTTTCCAAGGATACAGAGAAATTCATCCAGACAAAGGGTGGTTGTGTGTTCATTTTAACTTTTGTTTTCAGTTATTAGGTACGTTTGAAAAAGGGGTTATGTTTAGGTAGGGATGTATTTTGCAACGAATTCTGACATCCGTTAAATGCATGTCGTCTGGATGTTTTTAATATATATATAAAATGATGGAATGAAACGAGGAAGGTATGAATCCCCAAATATAAACTAAAATATAACAAAATATCGAACAGAAAATAATAATGTTAATATGACCCGTCCACCCCACAAAAATAAAAGTGGCCGTTGTATTCAGTCTTAACTTACTAACGGAAAGGATCAAATAATTATGGACGTGGGGGGAAGCAAAGACTGACCCAGTCGAGATGAAAAATGCGACCAAAAAAATTGGGAAGGTTGGGAATCTCTATTTATATCATAACAAAAATGAAGAAGCCTAGGATAGTTCGAAACGATACTAACATTAACTAGATATACGAAGGATGTGTAACTTAACCAGGGGAGGGTTTAACCTGTTGTGACCAAGAGGACTAAAGAAAAAAAAGAAAAAAAAAAGAAACTCAAGGATAGCCCTTTTCACTCGAACCAAGCTCGCTACTTTCACCCACTTTTCGCTGAAATCTGTCGACATCAAACACTTTTTATCAGTTCTAATCTTCACCTTCAGTGGATGCTGAAAGAATCCGACAAGAGCCTGATGATAATAGCGTTCGTATCGCAAGATTCCCTCCATTCGCGTTGTTTAGATCACCATTCTTGCCACGGTTAGCGGTGTTAGAAACACCATTATCTCACGCCTATGCGAGATTGATGGGCACGAGCTTATCGGGAGCGATACGAACCGTCAACTTGCCGACATAGTCCCAGAAAGGGCGCACCTGAGGACAATGGCAGGCGTGCGAAGCCGTTTCCTCTAAACCAGGGTCACATCGGTGACAGTCGGGCAAATCCCGCCGCCCCATGTGAAGATCATGTCATTGATTCGAAACGTACTATCTCTCAATCACCAGGTAAGCGAAAACTCAGGGTTACTGAGGTAATTCGATTGGCGCCCAAGACCAGAAAAAGCTCAACTTTGTTACCGAAAACCCTAGCTTCCCGAATAG